AACAAGTATTGTTATATAAGTTTCAAAATCTAATAGTCCAGTTCAATATAACAGAATTTCATGAAACATTCAAAATGATTAGGAATACCAGAACACCTGTTGCTATATTTAAAAGAAAAGATGAGTTCTATTCATCTTTATGAAATAAGTTCAAACTAAGTAAAAATGTCAAGTACAAAGCACAATGATAAGGGAAAACATAATGCACATTTCGAAGATCTATGCTTGAGGCTTTTGTCTTTAAATAAAATTAAAAACAAAATCATCAGCAAATCTTCTTCACTCCATTCCTTTTCCTATCCTGAAAAATATACATTCGCTTCAATTTCCTATATTTCATAATTTCTAATTGACGAACCATATAAAAACACGGCCAAATGATATTGCAGCTGCCATTGTGTCCCCAAGGGCTGTAATACTTATAAATTCCAGTAGTGACGAATCCATGAAATCAGCTTTACCAATATATTTGAATCGTTTAACTCCATTTTCGCCAAAAACGTAAAGATATACAAAGAGCTTCTCACAACAAGCAAAGTAATTGGCCTAAAACAGCAAAGATCATGTTTTTTCGAATTTTCAATATTTTTGTATGAAGTCTATGAAATTATTAGGGGATAAAAAATATATGAAAAATTATCGTTAAATCATACTTGCGAAAATAACGCAAATCACAAGGAAAGCTAAGTTTACTTACCGTGACAGCAAATTGAGAACATCCAATATTATGCGGCCCAGTTCGTAGAATTTCCTCATTTTGCGGAACTTCATTTCCGTTAATCTTGGTAATAACCAATTCCTTACCTTCACTTTTAGTTACAACCTGGAACAGTTCAAAAGGTGAAAAATAAATTTGCATCCTGATTAAATTTTTAAATAGAACTAACCAAAGTTGTTCCACATGAATGCCAAACATCAAGCGGTGCACAATTCAATTCACGACAGCGCAGAACAGTCCACGTGTCAATGCTCCAGATGTATTCTGTACCATCAGCGGTATAAGTTACTACCTAAAACATTTACATGTTATGCAATAAGAATTGTATTCATCACTGCTGCTAATATAATTCCAGTATGTAAACAAGAAATTGATGAGCGTGTTGTGATCATTTCGTTAATGCTGTGACTCAAGACCTCAATTTTGTACACAATAAATAAACTTCACTGATCGGTCTTGATCTTTTACAAACTTTAGAACTTACTTTGCTTGGAAATGTACAGTAAAGGGTGACAATCTTTGCAGGATGAGTGAGAAGCTGTATACGATGGCCACTTTTTACTTCCACAACTATTACATCGTTATTGGAAACAATGAATGCTTGTCTGTAACGAAAATTACTTATAGAAATAATATCTACAAGTTGTTGCTGCTGACATATAACACTGAATGTGATCACCGATATTTTACATTCCCTGATTGATAAACAAGGTTACCAAATTGTAAATAAAATATTTTACAGGCATAAAACTCAACTTCTCATTACCTGTTGTCAGAACTAAATTTTACAGGGACTTCATCGACTTCAAATCCAGTTCTTCTGGATTCTTTCCAACTGTTCCAATCCATTTAATCAATAAGAAAAATATTTCTGCAGTAAAATATATTATAATTCATGTAATTCTTGGAACGAAACTGCGTAACTTTTGTTAATGGAATATTGATCTAACATACATATATTTGCACATTTCACGTACGCAATAAAAGGATGTGATGTTTACGATGCTTGAATGATGATGTAAATATCTTCTTTTTAATCGTCAGCAAATCACTAACACTTTCATACTCGTCAAAAATCGCAAGAGAAAGGACCAGAAAAAAAGGAGAAAGAGGAAGGAAGGAAGAAGACTCGTGTACCCAACCGTAGAGTACCTACACGTACCGAATAGTTTTTTTTTTTAATTCGATGATTAAGCTGATCGGTTCAGTTTAATAATGTAGAGATAGTGGTCTTATATTCTCTCTCTTCTTCTTTCCTTTTCTTCTTCTTTGTCATCCATCCCTTTTTTGTTGAAATTCAAATGTGTGAGAAGTCATTTTTCCTCCCTTCCTCTTTTTTTTTTTGTTTAAATCATTCATCCTTAGGCTTAAACAGACAAAAAACGAAATGGCAGAGGGAACTGTGACAGAAGAAAGTGAGTTTGATATCGATCTGGTGACTGAGCTATTCGAGAAGTCACTTGTTGGTGACAATGACGTCAGTCTGCCGCTATACATTGACGCATATCGACAAATTAACAAGTAAATAATGAATTTTCTTCCTGTTCTCATTAGAGATTTTTTTCCTTTTTTTGAATGACAAGTTTCATTGCTTAATTTGCTTGAAACAACTTAAAATTAGGCTAAGTCTCCATTTAAAAAAATTTTGACAAATGTAGATTTAGTGCTTCACTGGTCGAAATTGCCTGCATACGAAAAATAATGCATGAACAGATATTCCAAATTTACGGATTTGAAACAAAAGAGTAAAAACTGAGAGCTTAGGGACAGTTATTGTAATCGATTAATTCAAAAAACTAACTGCATTAATCCATTTGATATTCAAAAACTTTGTACTAAAACAAGGGGCTAATGTTGACTTATAAGTATGGGCTTTTATCTTGCTACAAAAGGCGTAGTCAGGTAAGGCTGATGGGAGTCATGATAGAAACTGTCGTAGTTGGATGTCAAACTCAATTTCTTGCTTCAATTGACCGAAAACTGTTAGCAGTGAATCCAATGGCCTTATTTCTTTCTACCAATTTCAAAACAAGTCAATCGATCTTTGTTCTTGTTTGACAATACACGTCTTCTTGTTTGACTGTCAACCCTTGATTTTGAATGACCTTTATGAGTTAGACATTCCAGTTTATTATTTGTCAGTGACATCAACGACTTTTATTTAATATACAATAATGTCCTTTGAACTGCAGAAGCAGAACATCCCATCCGGAAGTTTCTTGTATAGCCGGCAATGTTTGAGGATTGAGCAGATAAGTGCTCATAAAAGGAATCTAATAAGTCAGCAAGCGGCTTCATTACTTGTTTGTAAACAAATCAAACAAATTATTAAACTATTGAGATTCTTTTAGGACAAGACATGGTTATTTTCAGGATTTAGTAACTTTGACTGTCCCATTAATAAACTTCAAGCTTTTAAAGCAGTTTTATTCCAGATTTTTCTCACTCCTCAATAAAGGATTTTCTTTTGTTGAGAAAGATTTGCTGGAGAAAGAAAAAATCCTGCATGAGTTACATCTAGCTGACCCTGCTCATTATGATACTGTAAATAGCATGGTATCTTGGGAATGTCGTTTGGGCGCACCATTCGAAAAAGTAACTATGTTGGTTATATATAAATTAAACATAAAGGAAATGTCGCAGAGCAGATGTTAACCCTTTTATTTAAACCCTGTTTTGAATTTCATAATCTCATTTGAATTTTTTGTTGCTATTTTGAAGGGTTCAAGGACACTGCTGCGACTACATAGAGCCCTATTATTTATCGTTGACTTCTTGAAGAATTTGAAAGATTCCCGTGAAGAAGATCAGGTATGTTCAGGGTTTATCAAATTAGGATCCTAGAAATAATCCACCAATATACATGTCGAATCTTACTGTGGAGATAACAATCATCCACTTCCTCAATGCATATTTCCAAAATTAATATTTTCATTTAAAAGAAGTATCGAAATTTGCAATGAATTTCAGTCCTACTGCACACTAATTCTGAATTTTAACAAAATAAAAAGGAATGTTTTCACAGAAACGGCGAATTCATCGAAACTTTTTTACAACTTAAGGTGGAATTATTCCCATTTTGATTTCAGATCTCGATGTTATGTCAGGCAAGCTATGATGGCACGTTATCGAAATACCATAGTTGGATTGTTAGGAAACTTGTTGGCATAGCGGCCCATCTGCTTGCTTCTCGAGATTGCATGTTGAATGCGATTATAAGTGGGAGAAGTTCACGACATGAACATGAAGTGATGCAAGCAATTACTAGGTTTATTAGTATTGCAGAACAAGTTTTTTATCGCTTGCAACAAATTTATGAAGCTAGAAACATTTTGAATCTCCCTTGAAATGCTTCAATTTCAAAAGATACAGTGAAATAATTGCACAGTACTATGAACTTTTATCTTTTCTCATCATTTTCAAAGTGAAATTTGTTGTTTGTGCATTTTCGTACATTTTGTGGATCTAAGCCATAACTTACAAAACTTCACTAATCACTTTTATAATACTAATATTTTGTTCCTGTATGGATTTTCATTATTCACTTTAACCTTTTGATTTGTTGATTCATCTCAACAGTTTAAAACAACTTTTATCAACACTTCCTCTTTTGGACTCAGTTTATGAATTGAAACTCTTATGAATTGAATTCCACTTTAAAAGAGGCAGAATTCAATTCACACAAATTTTTCGATTCGTTTTTTGTTCCTGAAATATTTTAGAATTCAGGAAAATTAAAAAATGATGTTTGCGTGTTGTTAAATCCTGCACTTCTAATCTTTAAGGTTGAAAAAAAAGATTTAAAAAATTTTTGACGAATTCTGTTCATAAACTTGATCTGTTTGAGACATTATATACTACCTGCGAAAAGCAAAAATTTGATTTTCCGATAAGATCTTTATTAAACTCATGGAACAGAATTTACTTAAGCCTCGTCGTCTCCTCGCTTTCAATATATCAGCATGTGCTGAATTTTAGGACTTAGCACAATTGGAATGGTGGTGTAACTGTTATTTGCTTTAGCTGCAAAGGAGAGACTGATAGAAATGAAACATTTAGGATGCTAGATTGTACTTTTTAAGCAAAAGAAGATAGTATATTCACTGTTTACCGTTCCTCAAAATCAGCAAACTTGTCAATTCCAGCAATACAAAATCTTCACATCTGGAGAGTGAGAAAATAACATTCTTAAATCCTTAATATCCTTCAACACCGTATTTTTTTCTTGTACTTTTATTTATAAAGACAGACGGAAAGCTGTATTTTACATCATATTTAAATGCTATAAATGTTTCAATGATTTCATCATTTTTGCGATTTTCGCAAAAGCATATGCAGTTGAGCGCATGATACCTGCAGAAAATGCATTTTTTGCTGTTTGTTGCAAAGCAGATCTCCAAACAATATCTTCGATAGCTGCAGCAACAGGTTTTGGTCCATCCAACCTTCGTGCCAGCGAAGCAGCAATCTCTTCTTGAACCATAATACTTAGGACTTCCGGGTCTCTTGTCATTTTATTATAGTTATTAGGTGACATTAAAAAAAAAGTGATACCTATATCATTCTGCTTTCCGTTTCTGCTGTTGATTATGCGTTGTAAATTCCACAGTACATTAAATGGTAATCCCGTGATTCGTTTAAAAAATACGGCATCACATCTGTCCTAAAGGAATGAATGCTGTACAGCAATGAGATACCCTACTGAAAAAAAGGAATCGGAAAAAATTTTTCTCAGATAGTCTTTTTTTGGATTTTCGGATCAGCTAATATTCATTTCTGAAAAATGTAGTAGCTAGCAATATTTCATGATTTGCATGAAGTTCATTAATATAGTACTGTTCTCAAAAAAGAAAAAAAAAAAAAAAATGGTTACCTGTTCGATGGTGCGTCCTTGGATAAAAACATCTTCATCAGCTTTCAAGAGTGGTACGTAGATTTGATTAAGTTGAGTCCTGCTTCCGTCAGCAATTCTTCCTATCTTATTTTTGTCTTCACCAAATGACATTCGAAAATCACCTCGATATGAGAGCGATATTAGCTCGTTGTAAAACTGTGAAAGTGAAAATTTGTCCGGTAAAAGTAATAATGCTGCCTGAAAAACGTAGAAGTACAAATTCTTCAACAAAAGAAATTATGATGTCTGGAAACTTTTTGAAACCGAAAGTCGACACGGAATCTCAGGCTTCGTGGAACAATTTTCTTTGTCGAAAAAATTAAAATCTTGAAACAAGGATTCCATTACCTGTAAAGCACTATAACGATTTTTTTCTATAGCCAGGGTTATTCTCGGTGAAGGACTGATGATGTCCACAACATGTTTTTGCAGTCTCCCAGCTAAATACATCCACCTCCACTCGATCAGATCCAGTAACAAATCATCGGTATCAATTACTGAATACTTTATAAGATAACCCTAGAAACAGCTTTAAATTGACTATCTGCCACATATTCGAAATTCAGATTCTTTGATCTCGATTTTCCAGTTTCTAATAGATTCGGATGCTATAAGGTTGGTTATCAGATGCCAAAGACCGCATTATCCAAAATCAGTGGAATAAATCGTTATAAATAATTTCAAATAGTTGGAATTTAAACCATACCTGGTATGACACTCGAGTGTTACAATAAACCCTAGCTGCATAGTTCCTTTGAACTTGCGCAATCTTTTGATACCCTAGAAAACGTAATAAAGAGTAATGGGTCGGATTCATACTCAAGTTCTGTTTATGAAACTGTTTTGAATCTTGCGTTGCAATAATGAAATCGACCATTTCCCCGAGTGTACCATCAATCTTCTGCGGTACCGCACCCGAACCATAGGCACATGCATACTCCACGGTATCCAGTGGCAAAATGTCCAGAAGATGCTTCCTATTACCCAACGAATCCTCATGAAACTCTCCCATCTTCTAACTGTCACGAGACAATCCCGGTAACGAGGAGTCCTAACTGCGAGAACTCCAACCACTGTCGATTCTTCCAAGATTAATCACTGCTTTACGAATGATACGACCAGTCTATAAATTCCACTGAATTACATTCCCATATATTTCCAATATTTTCCACCACAAACCACTTATACGACTAACAAGAATCCTGCAAAGCATGTTTCCAAGAATTTTAAGGGAAAGATTTCTTCTTTGAGAACGCATTTCATCTCTTTCTACAATTTAGAAGAATCTCAAAGTTAGAAGAAACCTAGAAATTTCCGTCCTACTTTTTTTGCGGCCTTTCCACTGCTTATTCTGAGAAATAAAATTCATAAAAATTCATCCCAAATCTCCCACCTCAATTTCCGCTACATTTTTTACACTTATTATATTAATTGTACTGAAGGTTTTATTAGAAGTGCACTAATACTTGTGTTTAACTACTTGTGTCCGTCTTTCAAATAAAGTATGGAGGATATATATATATATATATATTGATTTCAAATGTAAACGTATCAAAATCTCTGTACGAAACTATTTATATTTCTTAAAAACTACAGTATTATTCCAAATGGATCTGCTCAAAGTAACATAATAAATGGAATCGGTATCTATTTGTAGACAGAAAATCAAAGCAAATTGGACCAAATCAAAAATTGAAACCACATCAAAATGTCTAGTAATTGGAATCAAAATAGGACCATATCCTAAATAAATGATTAATTACAAAAATGGTTTACAAAAAATACGAACTAAACCAGAAAACTATGCTACTATTGGTTTATGTCTGTAGGGTTATTTTTAGAATGTACATTTCATCAATGAATGGCAGAACGGAAATAAATATATAATCATTTAACTTCCAAGCCTTTTACCGCAATGGGTATATAAATTAGTTCTGAAGTAACATTACAAAACGGATTGCAAAATCAGAACGAAAATTCGCAGATTAGTGTACAATTAGAAAACATCATTTGGCAATTAAAATAGTTATGGATATACTGTAATATTCAAATAAACGTAGAAAATATCGCATCACGAAAAACTAAAACATTTTCAAATTACTGACAGGATATAAAGGTTTCCTTAAAGTAAGGTAACATCCTTCAGGACTGTTCAGATGTGAGCTGTAAGAAATAAAAAAATGAATTATATATTGTAAACCATTGCAAATACTCCTTGAGGGTCAATACAAGAGGGATAAGAATGAGGATGAAGAGGATTGAAGCCCAGATACTTGAAGCAAGATGCGACCTGCAATGATTCAGATTAAATACAAAGAATTAAGAGGAATAGGTTAGTTGACCTAATAGGCAAATGTTGCGCTTAAAAAGCCATCAACGACCAAATTACATTCAAAATAATCAAATGAAAAATGAAAAGTAATCTAACCAAAACGTAAGGCAAAGTCTTTGCGTTACATTATTTTCTACTTTTTTTTTTTTACTATTTCTAAAACGGTATTTTCTACTCATCTGTTATGAACATTGACAAAACATTCTGAAGAAAGATAACATGGGCAACGTACCGTTTCATCGACGCTGGTTTTGTTTAGGCAGAGTAAAATACGTTTCACTGGTAAATTGTCTTCACAAAATTCTAATAACGAAACAAATGCACCTTTTGATAAGTTCCATGTACGCTGATCAAAAGGTAGAAATATTGCTAACGTATTGCCCTCTACCAAATGACAACACCAATCGGATGAAACTTCTGGAAATAATGCAATAAATAAGCAATAGCTTTGAGAGTTTTTTGTTTTCACTCATGAATTTATCGAAGATCTCATCCTTTAAATTTAAGCCTCACACTAAGTTTCTTTGTTAACTCTATTCAGCTCCAAATTTGGACAAGTTAACATGCACTACTTACTTGAAATTTCATCGATTAATACTGCAAAAGTTGCAAGATGATGATTAAAGCTGAAAAAAGTCTAGTAAAAGTTTAATGATAAATAAAAGCGTAAAGAGCTACCATTAACAAAACTTTCCAAGGAGTGAATATGTTCGTCATTAAATAAACCACCAGTAGGGACGTCAGGAATAACACTCGAGGCCCACGTGCCCACGTTTACAGCTGAAAAGATAGATTACCAGAACCTTCTATAGCCAATATAAAACGAAATAAGGGAAGACTTACAAACTCATAATAAAGGCAGATTTCGATTTCATTTCGATTCTAAACAATAAAACTAAACTTACAACCTCTAAATACTCAGTAATTTAATTAAATCATTAAAAGATCTGAGGCTGTAGTAAAAATACGCCTCATCATTACTGTTTGCAATAAGGATAGAGACGAGTTCAGGATGATCATTCAGATGAGAGGAAAACTACAATCATAAAAGGGTATCATTTTACATCTCCGAAAGAAATGAACATAAAAAGAGACTGTACTAGCTTCATCTTTATTCCTCCCTCACTAAATGCTCATTTTCTGAGGAACTATATCGAGCAAGAAATACAGTGCAATTTCTGTTAGAGTAGAAAGTATTGAAGTATGTCGGCTAAACAGCGAATTATTTCTTCATTTGTTACTTCCAATGCTTTCATCTGAATGCAATGTTTAATTAAAGCTTGAAGAAAATTTTCTTTAGTTTGTCATAAAATTTCTCTAACTTAGCGAGCAACGCTAAAACTTACTTTCCGCAAAGAAAACTGTAACAATTGCTAACAGCTAACTCTGACATCTTGTCACGTCTTGTCGTGTTGCCAACACCTGAAATGACAAGAACACGTCATCACACCACGTATCTCACGCTACCCCACAACCACCACCAACCCTTCCACCATGAACAATCAACCTTAGCGCACTTTTATAACAACACTGCCAACTCTCTGCTTCACTAGCACAAGCTATCTCCAACCGTCTGCCTGTCTGACTCTTCTCATATTACAGTCTTTCTTCACCTCATCATCGACAAATAAAAGTTTGGAATGACTCTATCGTAGTTTGCCCGCTAATTTGAAACTCAGAATTTATGGCGCATAGTTTCTGGTGAAGTGTAGTCTTGTAGTCACTGAAGAAGAATTTCTAGTTAGCATTTAGTTAAGCACTGTTTGGGTAAAAGCGTGACAGAGACAGTGTGACATCAGCTAGCTTCAATTGTGTCACCAGACCTTGAGTTGTTCCTTGCGTTAATTTCGTTACACTATGTGTATTTCTTAGTTGAATCCTGTGACAAAAGAGAAGAGCACAGGATACTGTGTCATCTTTTCTACAGTCCATTTATGATAGTGTCTATTTCATTTTACTTGGGATTATCCTTTCTCCCTAAAGCAATGGTTTCTTCAGTGCTAAATGTATGGCAACTTTTTTCGTCATCAGAAAAGATTGAGACGGTAGATTTATTGATTTACTCATTTTGCAGAATAATATGACTGATAACTGCTGAGGTAACACTGTTCTGATAGCAATTTTTGTCGATAAGTAAGATAATTTGCGAAGCCTCACAGTGGATACTAGTTGACCTTATCCTTCAAAGATTAAAGGTGAAAGTTTACTTCTTTTTCTAATTAACTTGGATGGGAAGATATACTCAGATGAGATTCTTTGTCTTTTTATTGAGATTTCTTACCCTTACATGCCCTTTATTTTTTCCAGGAAATGTTCGTTATTTCCATATAGCATTATAAAGCTTAAGAGATAGCACTGTTGAAATGTGAATATGTGGTGAATCTTTAGAATAACGAAGTGAAAACTAAATGTGTGCTACTTATCTTTAGAATGGCTACTGAAATTCATATCAAAATTTGAGATGGTACTTAACAATATATAATAGATATATAATAAGGTTACATCTGCTAATATCGGATTGTTAATGAAGCTCTTGTACATTATTTTGAACTTTTCATTTTGTATACTTAGCTTGTTTTTTTTTACTATTTCTCATTTATTTTCATTAGTAGTGTACTATTCATCACAGCTTGTTATTTCTTAATTTTTCAGGTACAAGTCACCACAAACTTTGGGTCGATCACAGATCTCATCATAGAGTTTATTCATCATAGTAAGTTGAAAACTATGAAATAACAAAACTTTCCTATGTAACAAGCATGTTATTGATTTAAAAAAAATCCATATTGTCTAATCACTCAGTCAAACCAGAAACCGCCACATCGACTGGATTTGGAATTTAATAGACGGTCAAGTAATCCGATAGATGTATTGTAGGAAAGAATAGCGAGACCGGATCTGCTGGTTGCTGTATGAGTGCTGGTGCTTGTGTACCAATATGCGTGGAGTTACACCTTCTGATAATGTAGATCCTACACGCAGTAAAGAAATTGAGGTTGATTCTTCAATTTTATTCTTATTCTTTTATTAAAATCACATCCTACCTTGTTGTGACATTTTTTTGTCTTAATACATGTATGTTTGTAAAATTAAGCTTTATGAGGCAACCAGTAATTATGCTCGAATTGCTCAAGTAATGGTTTAGATCTCCATACTACCAGTTTCTAAATGAGTTTATTATTTCCTTTAGAATATTATACATTGCTCTCTTCAACATTTTGAATACGATGATGCGGTGATGTTAGCTGAGGTGTATCATGAAACAGGTATCCTTTTTTTGGATTGCTTGTCAATATTATTAGTTTTCCTTTTGAAAAATAAAGAAACACTTAATGCTTAAATGCAGATTGTATAGGAGAGCCATTATTAAGGAATGGAATTTTTATTAATAATTAATGAAAACTAATTGCTCTGATGGAAACTGCAGTGCTCGCACGAAATGTTAAGAAATTTTTGAACAAATCTTGAAGGATTTGGTAAAACATATTGCTTATCGCTCAAATACACATGTCATAGGAAACTCATTACTAAAAAATGGAATTTATATTAATAATTAATATTCTGTTCTTTCAGTGAATACCAGTGATTCGTTGTATTTATACGCTTACTGTTTAACCCGAGCGGAACGTTTGGAGGCAGCATATAATTTATTGAAACTCAAATTTCTTTCATCTCCGGAAATTCGTTATCTGTTTGCACATTGCTGTTATCACCTGGAAAAGTATGCATTCTGCTATATTTTTGTTAAGTCCGCAGTGAAATTGATTCATTTTCTTAAATATCTACAAGCCAAATGCTTCTGTGATATAAGGAATCCCACAGCAAAGCATACTGAAGAATTCTGTTTACGTTAAAAATTTAATCCAGTAGTGATTTAATACACTTGAAAAATATGTTTCAAAGTTTGAAGAAATTGCAACCGTAGTCTTACAATTTTTTTGCACAATTCATGTTGTTGAAACGACCTACTTGAATACTAAGTGCTAATAAGATCTTGTTATTCTCGGCAAACTTTTATTCCATAATCATTCTGTATACCGAATAATATTGTTTTATAAGTAAATAGAATAGAGTGTTAGGTATTCAGAATATTTATGCATGTGTTTCGAGTATAAAGTTATTCCACATAAGTTTTTGTTGTGTAGCTAATTCGAAATATGAGAGTTGCTTCAGATATCAAGAAGCTGAAATGGCTTTACGTATACATGATCAGCCCAAATTAGATGACTGTTTCACGAATACCTCTGTGGAATCATTCGCTCACAGTCTGCTCAGCAGAGTTTTTGTGTCGGTTGCAAATACTTTTCATTAAAAAGTAGAAAAGATGGTTGTAAATGCTTACACGACAAATATTTTTCATTAAATGTCAAGAGGAAACAAAAAACTTGTTTATAACAGTTTTTTTTTTTAAAAAGCGGCTTTTATTTTCATAGCTGTTTGTTTCAGAGAGACTGGTCGACCAGATGAAGCGGCTGATGAGGGTAAGTTGGCACTAAAGCAAAATGTATTTTCGTGGACGAGTTTGAAAACATTATGTAATTTGGGCATCGGTAATCCAGAAAACATTTACACAAGTTTGTTGACATGTGTAAATGAAGCACGTTCATCAGACAAACCAAAAACCTCTAAAAGGTATCTTTAAAGTTGAGTTATGAGTGCCAGATACATTTCAATAGTATTGGAATTGTTGGTGATTATTCCTCTTTAAAAAAATATCTAGAAACAGATGGAATTAGAGGGCTCATATTCCATCCTACAAACGCTTAATGTATTGAATTTATCTGCCAACCTTGTCGAATTTATATGACTAAAGTGCTTCTTTTCGGAGCTCAGGAGTGCGTACTTTCATTTGAATTACTGTTCAACAGTATTGTTTAATAGGCATTCTAATGGTAATTTACAAATCATTGAGGAATAGAAATAATGTATCATACCGTATAAGAATTCATTATTTTATACAAAAATATGAAGTTACAGTATTGATTACAAGCTTCTAGCATGGGTGTAGCAACGAGAAGTGCTGAGAAACTGACAAAAAATAACGAGAAAAGAACGCCAAGTGGTAGTAAAGAAGTTGAGCAAAAAATGACTTGTTTTGCACCAAAAAAAAGTAAAACGGTAAATTTTTATTACAAAATTCAAATCATGGATAGATGTTCCTTTTTAATAAGTTGAAATCTTGATTGGAAATCCTTTCATGATATAAATTTTCAGGGCATAGCAGCTAAAAGAAATACGGAACTAGGTATAGTCAGAAGACGGCTCGAGGAAGGCATGGAAACACGACGCAGTGCCCGCTCATATGGAGTCTCACAGGATAGTGAAAATCAGACTGTTGCAAAGGATGTGAGGACATGTACACGTTCTCGTGTTGCAGTCCTTTCTGCAAGTGGAACACCACGTAGTTTGCAAGACAAACAGTTGCGGTAAAAAAAAAAACTTTGGACCTAATGAGAATACACTTCTTACTTATTTTAATTTTTACTAAAGACTGCTTTTGACTGCTAAATTTGTTTCACTTCACATGTGAGCTAAATATAAGTGAACAAATAAATCAATATTAACGGTCAACTTTCAGCTCAATGAATCGCATCAACGAAATGGAGTTGTCGAAAACGCCTCCACCAATACCTTCAATTCATAAATTAATAGAATCAAATGATGACCTTCCAGATACAGCGCCTAAATTAAAAGATGAATCTGCTCATCAAGCACAAAAAAGCTCATTAAGTCGTACACGTTCAGGCTCTCAGCCTTGTGTTATTCCTCTTTCTTCACATGATCAAAATACTGTACAGTTCAAACAGGAGGTTAGCACTTTTTTTATTATGAATATATTAGAAGCTAGTAACTGATATATTACTTCTCGCAAGCAATTCTTCCTTTGTCCAACCTGCATGATGTGTTTCTTTCCACCCAGTTACTCATTTCTAATCCCACTTTTCATTTTCAGTTTTAACATCTTCTTTCAATCCTTCCCTTTTCGTAGCTTCCAACGTCCCTTTCCCATCCTTTCCCAGTCGATGACTTCTATTTTGCGAAGAAATGGTATTATTATAAGTCTTATAGTAGTAAAACAAATTTTCACTTTACTTTGTTTGTCACTCTATGCTTATCATTTTAGGTTATCATTTTGTTATTGTTATGTAGTCTTCATATTTTATTAGCACTTTTCTTTATGTTCATTATGTGATAGTATTTTTAATGGTGGTCACCATTTGGTACTTAATTAAATTCTGCTATTTTTATAGTCTAGAATTAGTAACGCAGTTTTTATTTCCAAACTTTTATTTTTAGAGAAGTTAGCCGCAATTGAAACTAGCAAAGAATTCAAAAATATTGAAGTATAAATAACAATATTAGGATTTAGGAAGTTTTAATAGATTTCTCTTTGAAAAGAACAACAAGCTGATTCTTATAGCCGGAATCATTGGGTGTCTCGATTGTTTTCTCGCGTTCATCATCTAGTGTATCATTAACATCTTCTTGTTCACCCCAACCACCCAGACATCGTAGCAGAGAAAAGTTTCAATTGGAGACATGTACGCGTATAATGAAACGTTTACAAAATTTCGTTTCAAAGCCGCCATCAATTGAACGTCTTCAAAACTCTATTGCTGACTGGGGTACTCTGTTCAGTAAGTTCATTTTGAAGGGATTACTTGGGGAAAATATGTGAGTAATTAAAAAGCACTAAATCAATAGGGGTAGAATCGCGAAGAGAATAAGAAATCTTGGGGAAAATATGTGAGAAAAGAATAACAAATTGAAGAAGTAATTTTAAGCTGCTCACGGTTTTCTACAAAGATGTCATGTTGTTTGCTGTTTCTTAAATTCAGACGCGTTTTGTGCTTTTCATTTGTTCCATTTTTTACAAATCTCATACTTTAAATAAAAAAATATATGAGTCCATATAATCCGCATTTGTAGCAACAGTGGTAGAACACATTAGTTGGTTAGCTATGCTTCAATGTGCTGTGGCGACATACAGATCAAACTCAGTAATTGGTCGCTATAACCTGATGCCTGAAAAGTGTAAGAAATTTGCTTTGGCAAGAGAGTTGTTGGCTCGAGCGTATTTGGAAAAGCTTGATTATACAAGGGCAACAGAAATCCTGGAAGAACTTCGTCGAGAATTTCCACACCGCGTTGCAGGAATGGAGGTTTGTTATCGCTGTACCTAAAATTCATATTTTCGATGTGAATTTTTATTATTTAAATACAACTGCGTGATTGTAGACCTCATAATAGTAGAATTTAATCTTCTTTGAGCCAATATAAGACAATGTTTCTTAATTTTTTTCTAATTGAAGCATTCCTGAGCTCAGTTTGAATAAGTTTCTCTATTTTGCAATGATAAGTCTTCATTAAATTTTATGACAACTTGCTTAATTTATTTCATTTTTAGTTTCAGTGTAATTTAGTTGAACTTTAAGAATATTGGTATAAGCAATAGTTGTTGTGATTTATTTACAGATTCTTTCAACTGCATTGTGGCATGCGCAAGATGTTCGTCGACTGTCAGTACTTGCCATGCAGATAACAGAGGAATGTCGGTTTTGTCCGGAGGGTTGGTGTGTAGCTGGTAATTGCTTCAGCGTACAAAAGCAACATGATACAGCCATTGAATGCTTCGAACGTGCTGTCACTATCAATACACGTTTCCCTTATGCTTATACGTTGTTAGGACATGAATTGCTGGATTCGGATCATCAGAGTAAAGCTGCAGCAGCCTTTAGGCGAGATTTTCTAATTTCCAGTACTTTTTCAAAACCAACACGAAAGTTTATACAGCGAGTTAATATGATTTACCAACAAATGCTATAAAATCCTCTCATTAAACAGGTGAAAATATGAAGAAATAGTATGATATGGAATGAATATTTCGATGTGGTAGACATAAATTTTATCGTTAATACTATTATACAGTTTCATTTCACAAGATCCATTTTGCATTTCACTACCGTGTTGTTTACCAGAGGGCTGTGATCATTTATAAATCTAGTGAGCGCGCTTGGTACTGTTTATTAGTAAAACTGAGAGAATAAATAATCACGGTTTTGCAGGCGCGCACTTTTGCTTTGTCCAACGGATTACCGTGCTTGGTTCGGGCTGGGTTTATTGCATTTTAAAAAAGAACAAGTGAACCTTGCTCGCGTTCACTTAAGTCGAGCTGTAGCAATTAATCCGTTTAATTCAGTACTACTGTGTCAATTATCAGTTGTTGAACAAGCACTACATAATAACGATACGGTAAAAACATTTTGTTATAAATAAGGCGTTACTAAAACGCACTTTAAACATTTGAAATTATTTTTTTTTGCGAAATTGTTGACATAAAATGTTTACAGAGTTTTTTTTTAGGATTGCTTTAGTGATGAATAAGAATAAGTAAGAAAGCAAACAAAATGATTAGCAAACAGCATATATGCTGCTAATACATGGTGATGTGATGGTAAATAAGCGTTAGGCGTATGAATTTAGGGAGTTATAGTGTTGACCTGAGGTGAAGTGTGTTACAAGCAGTGGAACTATTAACTTTACAAAGTCAATATGTATAAGCTAAACAGTTCCTGAAAGTTTAGTTTAGAAAGAAATAGTTGAAAGCGAAGTTATAATTTGGAAAGATGTTATAGAAGTAATGATTTAATGTTATGCGACATTATTTGTGAAATTTTCCGGAAGGTATAGAAATGGAAAAGAAAGATGAAGTCATTAGCATGAAAATATAACACTATTCAATGGATTTAGGGAATGTTATAGTGTTGACCTGAGGTGAAGTGTGTTACAAGCAGTGGAACTATTAACTTTACAAAGTCAATATGTATAAGCTAAACAGTTCCTGAAAGTTTAGTTTAGAAAGAAATAGTTGAAAGCGAAGTTATAATTTGGAAAGATGTTATAGAAGTAATGATTTAATGTTATGCGACATTATTTGTGAAATTTTCCGGAAGGTATAGAAATGGAAAAGAAAGATGAAGTCATTAGCATGAAAATATAACACTATTCAATGGATTTAGGGAATGTTATAGTGTTGACCTGAGGTGAAGTGTGTTACAAGCAGTGGAACTATTAACTTGACATGAAATGCATTACAGGCAATGGAACTATTACAGAATGCGTTAAAGATTTCACCAGACAACGCTGCTTGTAGATTCTATCGTGCTCGTTTGCTGTATGAAATGCATGATTATGCGCGGTGTCTGGAAGAATTAAATGATCTAAAACTTATTGCTCACGATGAAGCACAGGTTTGTCATTTTCTTTTAGAATTTGTTTTCACATTTGAATTAAATAAATCATGCTATTTGACCTTTACTCTACTTCTCTGCTTTTAATTTTTTTGCATTCTCGAAAAAAAGTGTGTCCTAATATTAAGTGGATACTAATAACTTTAAACTGAAGTCATATTTTCTATTCCTCTTGTCGATTCTAATGACAGTGAGTTATCAAAACAAACTGTAAATGGTCAAAACAATTAGTTCATGGTTAAGGCAGCATCATTAGTATTTCCAAATTGAAAATAAAATAAGTAAGACATTCTCTTTTGAGATTTCTACTAAAGGTATTAACCTTTTTTGTTTGAATATATATATGAATTCTTATATATATATATATGTATATATGAATTATATATGTATATGAATATATATATGAATTCTTATGTTTGAATATATATATGAATTCTTAATAATTTGAATATATGAATTCTTATTATTAAAATTATGGATACGGGGATGCTTGAATTTAAATTCGATTGGTCTTAATTATGAAGAGGAATTTTCAGGTATTTTTCCTCTTGGGTCGCGTGCATAAGAAGCTTGGTGACACACATTTAGCGTTATTAAACTTTAGTTTGGCGGCAGAAATGGATCCTCGTGGAGAGCAGAGTCGCAATAACTTTACCGATGCTCCTTATGATGACGAACCTTCCTCTCCTCCGTCTGAATGAAGTAAGATACGTCTCAAATCAAAATTTCTGTTAACTTTGAAATATTTCATGAGTCGTACAGGATTCACAGTTGATACGGTTTTCTTTTTCCATTAGCATTTAGAAACCTAGTCATGTGTTATATCCTTAATCTGCCACCAGATTTTAGCCGAATTAATCATTTAGCTCATTGTTTAATAACATCTGAGAACCGATTCCAATTATCTAAATCAATTTTATCTTTGAATAATAGTTCCAAAAATTTTGGGTTATTTCATTTCATCTCCTCGAAATCTTTGATAATTTTTGAACTGTAATTATCAGAATTGTCCCCTAGATAATTGAACCAATTCATTCATTTGTTCATATATTTGAATTTCTTTTTCTTCACTTTTTCCCCGATGTTTTTGAAGTACCGAAATACAACTTGTCCTTATCGCTGCAGTCTTGCTTTATAGCTATTTAAAACCCACTAATTTTAATACCCTTAAACCACAGTTGCATCTTAGTGAAATACGGAACACTGCATTAACACATTTCAAACTTTTTATTCTATGCCAATCTTTTCTAGTCCTGGTACCACTATTTTTGGTTAAATGTTTGCAAGCAATCCGAAGAAAGTATTCTGGACGGACTTTTGTAATCTTTCCGCCAATTTTAGCGACTCCCTTGTATTTCCTTTTGAAATAGATTTTGTTTTCTAAAAGTTGCAACTTGGAGGTGTTAATTCAGATCAATTAATTAAAATTCTTTATTTGCTTAAAGAACTATTTCTACAATAGTCTCAATAACCATTCGACGATAGTCTTTCTATGCCGTTTCAATAAATGATTCACTTCCATCTCGTTTTCTGCATCGTTCTGCTTAATTTTTATTATTCTTATTGTTTAGCACTTGTGATATTCTAACACCACCGTTGTTCATGGTTTCTTTACATTGCCATACTTGCTACTATTCACAAATTTATTTTCATTTTATCGGCTTGAATAAACTCGAGTTTTCTTCGGACTAACGTCTTGCCAGTTCATATTATTAATCGTGAATCTCAACTAAATCTATCTTACTCTTACACTGTTGGGACTACTGCTAACACAGAAACAACTGATTGGCACTTAGTTTGACAGCTCTTAAAAAATTTACAACTTTGGTATTAAGATAAGCAAATGAGCCAGTCAGAATCCCATCAAGCGCAGGTTGTTTCCGCAGTACTCAAGACTGTCTTTTGCATGGGAAGCTATAAATGAAATCCAAACTGCAGTATTTCGAGAGATAGTTTAAAATTCAGAGCATGCATGTTTAACGCCATGATTTGAGATCATCTGGAGAAAATACTTATCCAGAACTTTCTCACGAAACTAATAAAATGAACATGTACAATAAAACTGGGACATTTTATCAACCGAAATTTGAAAAACAAATACTAAATTATGGATTACTTAAAACAATCAATACAAAACGAATTATACGGACAACAGAAAAACATGAAAAAGTGAATGATAAACGAATGAAACACATGGAACAAATTTTTTAAGAAGCAATTCAATCGGTGGATCGAACTGCTTTCCCAGGTAAGTTTGACCAGTCTGTCACAAATTTTCAAAAACGAAAAATGGAACATAATCGTGGATAGCTAATTATTTTTGTTTTCAGCAGCAACTTCTCTCCTTATGTTTTACAAAACCAAACTAACGACTCAATCAGTATCAGTCTTCTGCTTCCTCGTGCAAATTCCTTAACACCGGATTTTTCCTAATGTTGAGAGCAGAAGCATAAGCACAGATAGTACACATATAAATCACCTATTTTTACATGAAAAGAAAAAACTCTTGAAAAGACGGTCAGAAGTACGGAACAACAAACAGGATGGATTCCTTGAATTTGAATAAAACACTAAAATTCACAACAGATACAAGAGAGGGTGTTTTATTCTGTGCCATTTTTCAGCAATCGAATATTGTGTCTATCTAGAGCATGATCAATAAGTGCTCCTCCACTTGCACAAACTTCATCACACATCGAACACTGCCACTTCATTTCTTCATTTTCCACCTCACCTGAAAAAATCTGATGCTTTACCAAAGAGATTACCCCACTGGGTATGATTCAATTTACCATTTAAATATGAATCATATAAACTTTAGCATTTCACCATTATTTTTGGAAAATCTGTAAAAATCGTAGAATGAAAACAAACCGTCGACATGATTTATGGGGCAGGCAGATTTACGATGTTCTCTGAAGTCTTCAAAATCAGTAGTTACAAAACGACAACCACCGCATATTAATGTATCAGGCATACCTGCAGATGTATTGTGCAAAATGAGATCAGAACACTGAACGCATCCTTTCAGGAATTTCAGTCAGATTAGAACAGTGTGTACCAAGAATTTCAATTTCGACTTGTAGCAGAATTAAAAGTTCAAGTGAAAAAGAAAGGGAGAAGTGTGAGTTCTAGAAAAAAAATACTTTTTAGCAGTTTCAGAACTACAACTATCCCACTTCCAAAATGGTGACACCTCATATTCAAAAGCTTCAAGTAGTTTTTTCCTTTTACTATCTTAGTTTTTTCTTTTCATAGTTGATATTATATTTACCAGTTTCATATAAATTCCGACTTTCCGTACTATCCGTTGCTGCAGTTTGCCGATTTCGATTGTTCTGCGCTGCCGCCTTCCCATAATCATCAAGTCGTTCTTTTTTTGCATTTGCACTGCTACCGGAAAAGTTTTCAGCGCCACGTTTCACCCTGAAGATAAATAAGTAGTTAGTCCAAGATTTTTTAAAAAAGAAAAACCAAACCAAACTTACCTTCAGAACTTTTTCAAAGAAGATTTTACACTGTTTTTATTGAAATTCCGAAATAAATTGCAAAACCAAGAACTGCGACCAAACTTCAGAAGGAACTCTGTCTTGTAAATTATCAGCTAAGTGTCGAAGTTTCACGTTCTCAGTGAAAGTAAAATTTGCGAGCAAAGACTTACTTTAACAGAACCAGAAAATTTCATAAAAAGCCTTAAATAGAAAATAATCCAGATTTCAAACTGTCCCTCTCGGTTTACAATAAAAACATTAAATGAAGCTGAAGACAACGCCCTGCAAAAAGTCAAAAACAAGAAAAGCCTAAAATGCATTGTGAGGACAAATGCCGCTCTATTCGGTCGACAAAAAAATTTTTGGAAAAAATACCCGTTAGAGGTTGAAACAGTCGATGTAACGTTGTGCGATTTCATTCCAGCAATGGCGAGCTTCACATCTATGAAAAATTATAAAAAATATGAAAAAAAAAAAGCAAAAAAATTTTCCCGGTGTGATGTAACCTAAGTAGGAAAATAGACAAAGATATGGCCAATGAAAAACTGGATGGATGGAAGCGGCTGAGTTCTCTTTGATAAAAAATTGAGAAATTGAAAAAAAAAAAAAAAAAAAAAAAGAAAAAAAGAAAAAAAAGGAAAAAAAAACGTGAAAAAACAGTCCTATCTATGGAGAAATTAATAAGTTACATTTTCAAAGTTGCAATTTTCTGTAACCAAATATACCTGCAACAATAAATGACTCTAAAAACAAGCAGTACGATACGAAGGGCATGCGCCACGATGTTTATGATTACAGAAGCAGCAAATCTGATTTCACCAGCTTACCAAGTATGGAACCGTTCCAGCTGTATCCATTAAGAGCGCTTACTGCAAGATCCGCTTCTGTTGAGGTACCATACTGTATGAAAGCATATCCCTTAAAAACTGTGACACCCAAAAGAGTCCCATAAGCGCTAAAGAGTCGGATGATGTCGTCGCGCGTGATAACATTTGTGTTCATATTACCAACGAACACACGAGCCCTAAACAGTGATTATTTGAGCACAGTTTCCAAATACATTCGGCTATTCCATGCCAAACATATCACGTTGTTAGCAAGGTCATGCCATATGTCAGTGTTCGTGAAGTAAATGATTTTTTTTTAACTTGGGTTGTAATCATGTGTGATTAGAACTGCGTAACTAGAACGTTAATTAGCAGAATTTTAAAAAGATAAAAAGATGAATGAATGAATGAGAAAAGAAAGTCGCAGAATAAAAAGGATCGTAACTTTCTACTTTTAAAACAAAAGGTATTCGATTAAGCTATAAAAAATTTCCAATCTATGCTGACCATCAATCATGCATCCATATCTGAGCGGAAGAAATTTCATGGTTAAGAAAAATGATTGAAAACAACACTTTCTCCTACTGCATTAATTTAAATAAACACTATAAAGCAGATAATATTTCCGACCATCATTTATAACTTATACCTTTTGCTAGGACATTTACACCAAGCTATATGCTTGGTTTTCCTTCTACAAGCAAAAAGATAATTGAGATTTAAGGCCACTTATACCGTGATACAAGACTTTCGAAAATGAGGGAATACGAGGAAAGCCGAGAAATTTAAAATCATGCATATTACAAACGAAATGAAATGAACTCAAGACTAATAATTTCCAAGTCAATTTTTTCTACCAAAAAAGGCTTAACATATTTATTTCTCAACTATGGAAAAATTGGACCATAAATTTCTCTGCAAAGATGATGTTAGGGGATTATAATCATATTCTTAAAATTCACGGAATGAATTCAACAACACCCTTCTGTGCTGTAAACAACAGAGGGTTAAATATTAAATACTAAAGTTCAGAAAATATAGACCTCCGAGTTGGTTAAGTACTACAGCATTTCTTAACATAAGAGAATCTGAGTGCACGCTTCATGGAAAGACATAGATTACAGGAAAGAAAAAAATTGCAGACAACGACTTAAACCAGAAATTTAAGTAATCTTATCACAGCAGTCATTTCCCTGAAAACGATGTGCATCCTTGTATGATCTTTATTATAGCATTCAGAAATTCAGTTGAAAAGCCTCAAATCCTTAATGTAGAGCTAGTTATGTAAACTGCCGGAATTTCACTGGAACCAAGTAAGTTACATCGACTTACTGCATGTCTTTATAGCAAAGATCTTTTATAGGAGTTAGCAAAAGTTGGTGCTAAGTATAATAGGCAGCAGTTATAATCATGTTTTGCATTTTTTTTTTCGCTGTTCTTTTTCCTTTTATCATGATCATTGATTTCCAATTCTGAGAAATCTGCAAAGACTTGCTCCAGAGAAATAAAAAGTTGGTAAAAGAAACTGATAATTACCTCACAAGATGAGGTTCCTTCGAGCTAGTGTCGAAACTAACATCTCGTGCTTTTAAAGTTGGACTACCACCAAAAACGCCTGCTGGAGGTCTGAAACGTAAGCGAATAAGAAGCTAAAGAATCCAAAACAAAGACATACAAAAAAGTTTAATTAAAAAAAAGAACAACCGATATAAGATCAAAATGAAGATCTATTATAAATATAGTGGCCCTTTATTTCGTTAGGGATCCACTAATTTCGATTTCTTTTCAATTTCTTATTTTCGACCGCTTCTTAGTCATTATTGTTATTTGCACTTGCGCTATGGCTGTCTGAACAGTGCAAGACCATACAATAAATAAATTATGAAAGTTTGTAGATTGGTGAAAATGAATGAATACTCACACACCGCTAACCAGTGGGTAAGCCCCCGATGTAGCTTCTCCAAATCCATAGCCTGCAAAAGCAAATCGAGTCACTCTGAAAATTTCAAAGAAATGTTTTAAGTATTTTTAAAAGTCAACTACCAGAACAGGAGAAAGGTTATACTAAATATATTGATCCACCCAAATGGATTTTCTTCTAAAAGACGTTTCGTCCTCTTCTAATAAATAAAAAAAGTTGAAATGGAATCAATTATTCTCACTCACGTGTAACTGGCGGAATAGTACCTCGCAATGATCGACTCGATGAGAACATAATAGAAAGACAGACAAGGGGATAAAGGACAGTCAGATAGAGAAAGGGATAATAAAAAGCAGCTCCGATCGAAATGAAAAATGAAAATCAAACTGATAGCGAGGAATTATAAACTTCTACCGAATGACAAGCAACCAACCCGCTTTGTAGGCCAATCTGTAAAAATCGACCAGTTGATGAACATCGTATATGGAAGCTACCGTAGCGGCGCACATCCTTACAGCTAGTAACTGACCAACCGAATGGTGTGCCAATCAACCCATAACAGCAAGATAATCTGTCTTTCTGACCAACTCCCGCGGTGGGCACTTACCTACCTAACTGGTTGCTCACCTGTACTCTCCCAAGGATCGCTGTTCCCTATAGGTAAGGAACGAAAAGACATGACCCTAGACGTATAGCAGGTTACACTTCAAGACCCCCATTTCTTCTCTGTTCACTCAATTCAAGGGATATCATCACTAAGGAAGTGCAAGCAAACATGTTAGCTTGTGAAACACACAAGTGTTCAAGCAAAAGTAAGTTTTGTTAGTAACTAGAAAATATAACTGCTAACGCCAATTCGTAACTTAAAGCGGACATCTCAGTTCTGACAGTGAAAACAAATCGAAAGTATGGCAAGATATCCACGCGCAAGCGTCCCCACGTCTCCTACCTCTCATCCCTATCCCAACACGGAACGCAACGCTTCACGGACGTGCGCGTTAACACTTATAGTCGCGGAATGAAAACAACTGTCTAACTCACATGATAATGTACAGTTGTCTTTGCTTTACAGGAGAGGTAAGTACAGTAATTCTTAAATGACTCGGGATTTACCTGTTGTCAGATTTTTGGTAATTAGAAAGAATAGCTGAAGTAGTTCAGTATGTTAGTATGGCATAATATATGTCTTATTGATAAAGGTAAGATGCGTGTTTTTAGAGAATTAACAATTAATAATAGATGGATTATTTTAACAAATTGAGCAAGAAAATTGAAATTTTTGTTAATTTAACGAAGAAATGTAACAAATTGAGAAGATACCATCGTGTGGGTAATCAGAACGATTAATACGCATTTATCTCGTAGGAACTGAAATTTATATCAAAAGCTTTCAGTCGATCAACAGTAAAATATGTGTATTAGGAAGAGCTCATCCACTATTATCTTTAATCAATTAGAGTTCGTTTTAGGCAATCATAGGCTAAAATTGGCTTTTTTAAGAACCATTTCGATTTTTTTTTTTTGCCTCTGCGACATTTCTGCGAACTCATTAGAAAGGAGAGCAATAACAAATATATTGTAGATTATGATGTAATGATGTAAATGTGATACAGTTTATTTCATTGTTATATCCTCTGACCTCTCATTTGCTTGCAACAAGGCGATCCAGCAATATGGGAAGGCCAACGGTAAAAAGAATGCTTTTCGCCAACGACACTACGACATATCGATAACGTCGCATAAATTTCTAAGTAACGTTAGTTTGGTTTTGTAAAACATAAGGAGAGAAGTTGCTGCTGAAAACAAAAATAATTAGCTATCCACGATTATGTTCCATTTTTCGTTTTTGAAAATTTGTGACAGACTGGTCAAACTTACCTGGGAAAGCAGTTCGATCCACCGATTGAATTGCTTCTTAAAAAATTTGTTCCATGTGTTTCATTCGTTTATCATTCACTTTTTCATGTTTTTCTGTTGTCCGTATAATTCGTTTTGTATTGATTGTTTTAAGTAATCCATAATTTAGTATTTGTTTTTCAAATTTCGGTTGATAAAATGTCCCAGTTTTATTGTACATGTTCATTTTATTAGTTTCGTGAGAAAGTTCTGGATAAGTATTTTCTCCAGATGATCTCAAATCATGGCGTTAAACATGCATGCTCTGAATTTTAAACTATCTCTCGAAATACTGCAGTTTGGATTTCATTTATAGCTTCCCATGCAAAAGACAGTCTTGAGTACTGCGGAAACAACCTGCGCTTGATGGGATTCTGACTGGCTCATTTGCTTATCTTAATACCAAAGTTGTAAATTTTTAAGAGCTGTCAAACTAAGTGCCAATCAGTTGTTTCTGTGTTAGCAGTAGTCCCAACAGTGTAAGAGTAAGATAGATTTAGTTGAGATTCACGATTAATAATATGAACTGGCAAGACGTTAGTCCGAAGAAAACTCGAGTTTATTCAAGCCGATAAAATGAAAATAAATTTGTGAATAGTAGCAAGTATGGCAATGTAAAGAAACCATGAACAACGGTGGTGTTAGAATATCACAAGTGCTAAACAATAAGAATAATAAAAATTAAGCAGAACGATGCAGAAAACGAGATGGAAGTGAATCATTTATTGAAACGGCATAGAAAGACTATCGTCGAATGGTTATTGAGACTATTGTAGAAATAGTTCTTTAAGCAAATAAAGAATTTTAATTAATTGATCTGAATTAACACCTCCAAGTTGCAACTTTTAGAAAACAAAATCTATTTCAAAAGGAAATACAAGGGAGTCGCTAAAATTGGCGGAAAGATTACAAAAGTCCGTCCAGAATACTTTCTTCGGATTGCTTGCAAACATTTAACCAAAAATAGTGGTACCAGGACTAGAAAAGATTGGCATAGAATAAAAAGTTTGAAATGTGTTAATGCAGTGTTCCGTATTTCACTAAGATGCAACTGTGGTTTAAGGGTATTAAAATTAGTGGATTTTAAATAGCTATAAAGCAAGACTGCAGCGATAAGGACAAGTTGTATTTCGGTACTTCAAAAACATCGGGGAAAAAGTGAAGAAAAAGAAATTCAAATATATGAACAAATGAATGAATTGGTTCAATTATCTAGGGGACAATTCTGATAATTACAGTTCAAAAATTATCAAAGATTTCGAGGAGATGAAATGAAATAACCCAAAAATTTTTGGAACTATTATTCAAAGATAAAATTGATTTAGATAATTGGAATCGGTTCTCAGATGTTATTAAACAATGAGCTAAATGATTAATTCGGCTAAAATCTGGTGGCAGATTAAGGATATAACACATGACTAGGTTTCTAAATGCTAATGGAAAAAGAAAACCGTATCAACTGTGAATCCTGTACGACTCATGAAATATTTCAAAGTTAACAGAAATTTTGATTTGAGACGTATCTTACTTCATTCAGACGGAGGAGAGGAAGGTTCGTCATCATAAGGAGCATCGGTAAAGTTATTGCGACTCTGCTCTCCACGAGGATCCATTTCTGCCGCCAAACTAAAGTTTAATAACGCTAAATGTGTGTCACCAAGCTTCTTATGCACGCGACCCAAGAGGAAAAATACCTGAAAATTCCTCTTCATAATTAAGACCAATCGAATTTAAATTCAAGCATCCCCGTATCCATAATTTTAATAATAAGAATTCATATATTCAAATTATTAAGAATTCATATATATATTCAAACATAAGAATTCATATATATATTCATATACATATATAATTCATATATACATATATATATATATAAGAATTCATATATATATTCAAACAAAAAAGGTTAATACCTTTAGTAGAAATCTCAAAAGAGAATGTCTTACTTATTTTATTTTCAATTTGGAAATACTAATGATGCTGCCTTAACCATGAACTAATTGTTTTGACCATTTACAGTTTGTTTTGATAACTCACTGTCATTAGAATCGACAAGAGGAATAGAAAATATGACTTCAGTTTAAAGTTATTAGTATCCACTTAATATTAGGACACACTTTTTTTCGAGAATGCAAAAAAATTAAAAGCAGAGAAGTAGAGTAAAGGTCAAATAGCATGATTTATTTAATTCAAATGTGAAAACAAATTCTAAAGAAAATGACAAACCTGTGCTTCATCGTGAGCAATAAGTTTTAGATCATTTAATTCTTCCAGACACCGCGCATAATCATGCATTTCATACAGCAAACGAGCACGATAGAATCTACAAGCAGCGTTGTCTGGTGAAATCTTTAACGCATTCTGTAATAGTTCCATTGCCTGTAATGCATTTCATGTCAAGTTAATAGTTCCACTGCTTGTAACACACTTCACCTCAGGTCAACACTATAACATTCCCTAAATCCATTGAATAGTGTTATATTTTCATGCTAATGACTTCATCTTTCTTTTCCATTTCTATACCTTCCGGAAAATTTCACAAATAATGTCGCATAACATTAAATCATTACTTCTATAACATCTTTCCAAATTATAACTTCGCTTTCAACTATTTCTTTCTAAACTAAACTTTCAGGAACTGTTTAGCTTATACATATTGACTTTGTAAAAATTTTTGAATTACTAACAAGCAGCTGGTTGTGAATCAAGAAATTTTTATCTGATATGAAAAGTATTTATCGTTCTCGTCATTTGCGTCAATCATTGTCATCAGGAAATATTGAAAACATCGAGACCACCATACAATCATCTGAGAAACAACAATATTGCGATCATTCATTCTTTCACTCCCTCTCTCTCCCTGAGAAATTCAACTTTTCTTTCTTATCTCTTTACTTTGTGAAAAGATCTGATTATTTCGGGATTGGCTGAATCATATACAATTTAAGTGACTAAATCTTTTCTGGTCTAGTCATGAAAACAGCTAGTTGTAAATACATGAGGGATTTATGGGCTAAATAAATCCGAGAATTATTTCAGCTGCTCGTAGCCAAATCTCTCTGACATCATTTCATTTCTTTAAGTATTTATCTAATAGAATAATATTTCTTGTGACGTTCTATTAAAACTTTTCAACGTTTGTTATTATCAATATGTTCGATGCTAAAAAGTAGGAAAGAATACTTTGTCACTATACGCATTTAATGACCAGAGATGAACACGTACGTATTTAATGACGTAAATGATATCATAGGACGGCTATTCAGTGCTGCCTTTCTAGTAATATGCAATTCGGAAAATCCTGAAAGAGTACTTTTGCCCATGAAATCCATTGTAATTGTCGTGTATTTCAAATGTTCTAAACTAGTCTATCCTCCTGCACAGATTTATGCTAACGTGAGCCACATACACACATACACACACACACACACACATACACACACACACACACACATACACACACACACATACACACACACACACACACACACACACACACACACACATACACACACACACACACACATACACACACACACACACACACACATACACACACACACATACACACACACACATACACACACACACACACATACACACACACACACACACATACACACACACACATACACACACACACACACACACACACACACACACACACATACACACACACACACACACATACAAATCCACATAGATAATCTACAAATACGGTCCTCCATGGATCGTTACTCGCTTATGGGAATAATTTTCTGCTCCTTCAAGAGATTTTTTTGAGTGAATCATCATTCATTTTAGTCTCATCAGATGGCTTTCAGATTGACAATTTCAGCAAGATTAATTGTTAGTTTGAGACGGCATCGGAAGAATGTTCGAAATCCGCCCGGCACTGCTGGAGGTCGGTCGTATCCTCTCATTCTCCTTCATTTCACTCATCCACCACGGTCAAGTGCATCTGTCCCCCTCTTCCTTGTCACGCCCCGTAGCACACACATACACACACACACACACACACACACACATACACACACACATATACACACACACACATACACACACACACATACACACACACACACACATACACACACACACACATACACACGACATTTTATGAGATAGCGTTGTCGGTTTGTTTGTCTGTGTGTTATTCAACTCGTTGGTATATATGTTAGTTGCCGTTGAAATGAACTGTCGGTAATGTCTGTAAGTGTATATGCGGTCTAGGTGGGTGTCACATTTCGAGATTGTCCTGCTCGAACTATAAGTGTGCGGCAATTGGAGCAGTACGTCTCATCTTTCCTAGTTAATCTTTCCCCGTACTTAACGCATATTGCGAGACATCTACGCATGCTACGTGTGTTCCTTAATATTAATATGAATTGCCATCTTTAATGCTTCATTACGTTTCTCGTCTGTCAAATAAGCTTTTCCTATAATTACTAGTTTATTTGTTTTAAGGGTGAGTGTAAAAAAAGCCATAGATTGGTCTTAATTGAAGAAGATGGGTTGCGAATTGTTGGAAGTTTGCAGATCTTGAAAGTATTACCCTGACGAATCCCTCCATTCGTCTTTATGGGCAGATAGCAATGAAAAGATACAGGTCAAGGTGATAACTGGCATTTTATACCCAATTTTGTTCACATTCTTTCTTCGAAATTTAATTGATCAATCAATTAACAGTAATGTAAGGCACACAACTTTTTTCGGTGAAATACGTTTTGCTTTTCGTATAATGTGTTTGTTATTTTCTAGGCATCACTTGTATACAGTCTGCTAACTACAACTAGGACGACGATACCTTCATCTCTAGTCTATAACTTGCCCGAAGATAACACCTCCTAAATATACGAATAGTGTAATTGATGAATTCAGTAGACCAATACAAAGTTTCGATTGGTCCAACATTAGGGTTCAGCCAATCATTGTCATTCAGTGAGCCTTTAGCCATAACACATTCGTCAACAGTAGTAGTTTGTTCAGTCTCGAGAATCATCTCATATTCAGAGCCATTTGATACTGTTTAATCAGTGATATATATCAACCATACTTACCTTTTGCGTTTGTTTAGCTGCTGTGAGGGAATTTTTTCGCTTAAATGAAGTCTGTCTTAAAGCCTTGCCATATTCATTTTAATCAGCGTTTTTAAACATTTTCACTTTCTAAAATTTTCTTTCTAAAAAAAAAAAAAACATCAAGTGAGTAGGAAATTTGAAGCTATATTTCTAAAAAAAGAAGTTAACGTCAAATTTAATGAAATCACGAAAGTTATTTTTTCTAGAAAATTTCAAACTTTTTCTTTCATTGGGATTATTCATTCACATTTCATTAATGTAATTGTTTGACCATTCGTCAGTATTTTATGATGGACATAATTCGACAAATTAGCCACTCACGCTAGCATAAATTTTGATTAAAACCGGAGGAATAAATAAGGCAAACAAATCATTATAATAAAATATACTTTCAATTTCGAACAGCACTGTCGTATTTCTTCTCTGTCTTTGTAGATTCAGATGATCGGAAGTAAATACCCCTGAAGAAGGCCAAATTCCACTTCAAAATGCAGTGTCAAGGATTTACTAAAGTGTTCTTTACATAATTGTTAAAAGAATATTACATCAATTGGACCATCACCTTATACCAGGCTGTATATTTTTAAACACAGAAGCTGTACTACTTTATAGCCTGATTTGATTATCTGGATATCTGTTGATTTGAGTTCAATATGAATTTCTTAAGTAAACTGAAATTTTTGCTATTTTTCACATATTAATCTGTATAGACTTCAACAACCATTAGGAGAATATCAGTAATTAGCATTTATTCTTTCTGCTTTCTTTTTTTTTTGATTAAAAAAATTGAAAAATTACTGAAGTAGAACGAAAGTGAGAAAGGGTTAGTAGGCCACTGTTTGAAAATGGCTATTGATTGAATAACTGACCACGTTGACGTGGTTTTAAATTTTTTTGAAAATGAAATGTTGAAAGAAAATGTATTTATATTCGAAAATCTGTAGCAAATTTTGCATTATATTTTCACTCATTTTCTATTGTTCTCCAGGAGCCTCCAAAAATGCGTTCTTGGCCAAGAAATATTTGCTTTTGTGTTCGTTGATGGATGCCGTTTGTTGTGTGATTTATCATCCGCAACTTCGACACTATTATTCATCAGCAACAATCCACAAGTATCGCCCTCCCTTCACCATCTCTCTTTACCTTTTACCAAACAATTGATTTTAGAGCCAAGCAAGGAAGAAACACTAATAATTTACTAAATTATTTTATTTTTTTTTAAAAGAATAAACTCATCTCAATGGTTATATCATTCAAAGTTCGCAATATTCAAGTTGTTACGGTAACTGTAATTAAAATTGCTATTTAACTAGAAAATATGTTTTGAAATTATCAGAACTGTAATTCTCATAATTTTACTATTTTATTAAATGCGAATTTAGAGTGAGGTCAATGACATGTCAAAGAATTCTAGATGGAAGGGATAGAGATTTCGATGGAATCTCGGGGAAGGAATAGAGATTTGATGGAAGACAAACCCTTGCTGAACAAAGCCTTCAGTCATATTTTGTGTCAAAGATCGACATTTGCATCACTAAACACTGTTAAAATTAGTATGACGAATTGCTGTAATTCATTGCAAATTACTTATGGCGATATGAAAAGAGGATAATCCTGTGCTAGTTCCGGTATTCCCTTCATACCTGAGCTTTTTGCGGATTACACGTATGTGATTTTATAAACTGCATTTCTAATGACAAAACTAGATTTGAAAGGATCAAAGAAATGTTGTGTATTACTCGTGAACTACTTCGTTGCAATTAATTTTGCTTTTTGCTGAATTTGCAAAATTATTTATGTTAAAGTTTCAAAATATACCGCCATTAAGTTACTTCATGCATTTCGTAGGTAATGAGAGACACTTGATACACTTGATGAAAATTTTACTGATTAGTAAAATGCAAAAAAAGGTACTATTACTATTACCGCTACCATCACATTACAGAAGTATTACTACCGTAGGTGCTTTGACTACGGTAATCAAGCAAAAATAGCAGCAGGAAGCGAATTGAATTGACCCTGAACTCTTTAGACGGTGTACATGCGGGCGAAAGTCCCCATTTCCTCGTTACCTTGTTACCCTCAAAATTAGGTCGTCGGTAGGGGTCACCATTTCATGAATTTCAGATTTTCGAAAGCATGAAATAGCGCAACTAGCATGGGTGAAAACATTCAGATCGTTTGAAGACTTCTCCTTCGCTCCCTTCCCATAGAAATATTTAAATTTTACTATTATGAATGCGGCATTTAATTTCATTGTTTTTTATGTGGGAAGCAAATGTGATTTTTTATTATAGCTTTACCGAACTAAGGGAATTCATTGATTTACTCTGATTAGCACTAATTTTGATTTTGCAGCCTTTGACTAATATAGTAGTATTAAGTTATTCATTAACTGGACATTATCATAAAGTTTTCCATCGTATGTTTTCATTCTACTTTTAATGTTCTTCTAACCTGTAGGATTCGAATTTTCGAACAATTTACATTTCACATTTAACCGTGTTTAAAGATTATCCAACTCACTCAAATTAGTTGAGGATCATGAGATTGAACAGTATTTTAGCAATATCCAATGGACTTTAATTTAGAGTCGATAAAAAAGATTTCTCCTGCTTAACAGTTCCATTCACTGAACAGGCATTTATGCAAAATGAAAGATAAGTTGATTATCTTATAAGAATTCATAGTGAAATCATTTGTTATAAATTAAACTGATGTAAATAATTCACTTTTTATCAAATTAAACTATTCTTCCTTAGTGATACATATATAAATATATACATAATTAAGCATAAAATTAATGGAATAAATAAAAAAGGAAATAGATATAAACGAAGTAACTTTAATGTAATCACTGGAAGACTTATTTATTCGGTTGAAGATGGGCGCCGAGCAGCTGGAATGGCTTTTTATGGATGCCATTTTGAGGTTCTGTTGATGTTTTTTGCTTCAATGATCTATCTATCTATCTATCTATCTATCTATCTATCTATCTATCTATCTATCTATCTATCTATCTATCTATCTATCTATCTATCTATCTATCTATCTATCTATCTATCTATCTATCTATCTATCTATCTATCTATCTATCTATCTATCTATCTATCTATCTATCTATCTATCTATCTATCTATCTATCTATCTATCTATCTATCTATCTATCTATCTATCTATCTATCTATCTATCTATCTATCTATCTATCTATCTATCTATCTATCTATCTATCTATCTATCTATCTATCTATCTATCTATCTATCTATCTATCTATCTATCTATCTATCTATCTATCTCTATCTATCTATCTATCTATCTATCTATCTATCTATCTATCTATCTATCTATCTATCTATCTATCTATCTATCTATCTATCTATCTATCTATCTATCTATCTATCTATCTATCTATCTATCTATCTATCTATCTATCTATCTATCTATCTATCTATCTATCTATCTATCTATCTATCTATCTATCTATCTATCTATATCTATCTATCTATCTATCTATCTATCTATCTATCTATCTATCTATCTATCTATCTATCTATCTATCTATCTATCTATCTATCTATCTATCTATCTATCTATCTATCTATCTATCTATCTATCTATCTATCTATCTATCTATCTATCTATCTATCTATCTATCTATCTATCTATCTATCTATCTATCTATCTATCTATCTATCTATCTATCTATCTATCTATATCTATCTATATCTATCTATCTATCTATCTATCTATCTATCTATCTCTATCTATCTATCTATCTATCTATCTATCTATCTATCTATCTATCTATCTATCTATCTATCTATCTATCTATCTATCTATCTATCTATCTATCTATCTATCTATCTATCTATCTATCTATCTATCTATCTATCTATCTATCTATCTATCTATCTATCTATCTATCTATCTATCTATCTATCTATCTATCTATCTATCTATCTATCTATCTATCTATCTATCTATCTATCTATCTATCTATCTATCTATCTATCTATCTATCTATCTATCTATCTATCTATCTATCTATCTATCTATCTATCTATATCTATCATCTATCTACTCTATCTATCTATCTATCTATCTATCATATCTATCTATCTATCTATCTATCTATCTATCTATCTATCTATCTATCTATCTATCTATCTATCTATCTATCTATCTATCTATCTATCTATCTATCTATCTATCTATCTATCTATCTATCTATCTATCTATCTATCTATCTATCTATCTATCTATCTATCTATCTATCTATCTATCTATCTATCTATCTATCTATCTATCTATCTATCTATCTATCTATCTATCTATCTATCTATCTATCTATCTATCTATCTATCTATCTATCTATCTATCTATCTATCTATCTATCTATCTATCTATCTATCTATCTATCTATCTATCTATCTATCTATCTATCTATCTATCTATCTATCTATCTATCTATCTATCTATCTATCTATCTATCTATCTATCTATCTATCTATCTATCTATCTATCTATCTATCTATCTATCTATCTATCTATCTATCTATCTATCTATCTATCTATCTATCTATCTATCTATCTATCTATCTATCTATCTATCTATCTATCTGACCTATCTATCTATCTATCTATCTATCTATCTATCTATCTATCTATCTATCTATCTATCTATCTATCTATCTATCTATCTATCTATCTATCTATCTATCTATCTATCTATCTATCTATCTATCTATCTATCTATCTATCTATCTATCTATCTATCTATCTATCTATCTATCTATCTATCTATCTATCTATCTATCCTATCTATCTATCTATCTATCTATCTATCTATCTATCTATCTATCTATCTATCTATCTATCTATCTATCTATCTATATCTATCTATCTATCTATCTATCTAT